CGGGCTGACCGCAACACCGAACCTCGAGAGGAACTGAGTCTTGTCCATGCTGTTCACCTGCTCGGAAGTGAGCGCGAGAACGGGGAAGACACAGAGGAGGAAAGCAGGGGAATGGGGGGGGGGGCATGCAGCAGGTGGAGGCAGGCAGGAGGAGGAGCAAGAGGAGGAGAAAGGGGATTAGGAGCAGGATAGAGGAGGAGGAGGAGAAGGAGGAGCAAAGTATGGGCGGGAGTTCGAGGAGGAGGACGGGAGGGAGCGAGGGAGCGAGGGAGCGAGGGAGCGAGGGAGGGAGCGAGGGAGGGAGCGAGGGAGGGAGGGAGCGAGGGAGGGAGCGAGGAGGAGGAGGAGAGACCATCTGGCCCGAGGAATCCTGGAACATGCGAGCGATGGTGAACTGCTCGCGCTCACTCGACTTGAGGTTCTGCTCCTGCAGCTTCTGGCGCACAACCTCGCAGAGGACGGACGAGTCCCTTCCTGATCTCCTCAGAACCCTCGGAGGCTGGCACCTCTTCTCCCTCTCCTGCCTCCTCCTGTCCCACAGGCACTCCGGCACCTCCTGCCGCATCACAAACTTGCTGGGATGGGCAGAGAGCAGTTTGGTCTCCTTGGGGTCCTTGCGGCGGACGGGATACTGGTCCCAGACGTTCTCATCCTGTAAGAGGAGGAGAGCTTGAGAGGAGAGCGAGGAAAGAAAGTTGGAGGGTTTGTAGAGGACGGAAGCAAACAGCGAGAGCAAGAGGAGAAGGACGAGATGATGAAAAAAGGACAGAGATAACGAGGAGGAGGAGGAGGTTACCTCAGAGAAGATCCAGAAAGTGTCAAGCCTCTCCAGCAGAGCTTTCAGCTGCGCCTCTTCGTCCGAGCCCTTCTCCGCAAACATCTTCTTCACCTCGCCCAGCAGCCGATCCCAGCTCGATGCCTCTTGCTTCTTCCTTGCCAGCGAGCTCAACGAGGAGAGGAGGAGGCCCTGCATGCTGTCGACCTCATGCAGGAGCTGCTGCCACTGGACGAGGATGGAGGATGGAGCCTCCCTTGAGGAGTAACGGGGAGGAGGAGAGTCGATGAGGTTGAAGTCCTGCAGGCAGACGATGTCGACGAAGCAGGGAGGGAGAAGCACCTCTAGATCGTCATCGATGTCCCTCCCGAAGACCTTCAGGGAAGACAATAGCAGATTTCAGTCCTCTCATCATCTCCAGCCCAACCATCTCTCCTGCTCCTGCTCCTGCTCCTGCTCCTGCTCCTGCTCCTGCTCCTGCTCCTCCCCATCCCCTTCCTCCCCCTCCTGAGTCAGCTCTCCAACCCTTGCCTCCCTTCTGCCCTTCTGCCCTTCTTTATCCATCTCCATTCCCCCCGCTCGTTCACCTGCACTAGAGGGTGACGTTGCATGTCCTGCAGCCGCCAGTCGATGCATCGCTCAAGATGGTCGATGCAGATCTGCTTCTGCTCCGACAGCAGCGGCAGCACCTGCCCGTGCGTGCGAGCATGCACGTACTCCGACGCCAGCTAGGGCTCGATCAGCCAACAGACGAGCAGGGGAACAAGGATAGATGCGGGGGTGGAGGAGGGAGAAGATGGATACACGAGTGGAGGAGAGCAGGAGTAGCGGGGTAGAAGGAGGAGACGGGGAGGAGAGTTGAAGAGAGCAGAGTGACGAAGAGGAAAACAGCAGCAAGAGAGGGAGAAGAGAGCGATACATGGGGAAAGAGAAATGGAGGTCAGGACAGCAAGGGAAGTATGAGAACAAGAGGTCGAGAGATCGGGAGAGAACCTTGCGGGCCCTTGAGATGATCTTCCATCGAGTTGAGGCGACTTGCCTGGATGATCAAGGAAGACGAGAGCAGGAGCAGGAGCAGGAGCAGGAGGAGGAGGAGGAGGAGGAGGGACCGATATATTGTTAGCTTATCGTCTTTGAAACCCCGCGCTGAGTCTCACCTGGACTGGCCACTCTTCCTCCTCTCCTCAGGGGAGCACATTGCCTGGATGAGATTTCCAGCGCTCCTATCGAGGTTCGCTCGACTCGAGGAGGATGAGGAGGACGGCCAGCAGCCGTCGAGGAAGCGATCAAGCATGTCAAGGAGGAGGGCAGGCTTCAGCTGCTGCTGCTCGTTGAGGTTCCTCTGCTTGAAGAAGGCGGCCTTGACGACGCGCAAGATGTCCACGAGGATAACGGAGAAGAAGAGCAGATTCCCGTGGATGTAGAGCTCATCATCTTCGCTGTGCATCCTGGCGCCTGTGATTGTCATCCACAGCCCGATGTAAATCTTGATCTCCTCCGCCCGCTGAATGTTCCCATCCCTGCCCCATTGTCACCAGCTCCTCCCTCCCCCCTCCCGATCCTGCACCCTCATAACTCTTGAATTTCGAACTTCCTCTTCCCCCTTCCCCCTCGTCCCCCTCGTCCTCCTCCTCCTCTCTGCCCTCCATAACTCACCGGACGAAGTTTCCTCCTCGTTCCCTCATCAGCAGGTACGCAAACGCCGTCCGAAGGAAATTATAGAGTCGAGGCTGCAGCTCGAGCAGCTCCCATCTTAACCCTCGCTGTGTCAAGCACCAATCAGCCCCAGCATTCCACAATCTCTCCGCCATCCCCCCCCTAACCCCACCCCCCCTCCTCCCCTCCTCCCCGATGCCCTGAGGATTCTCAACGCTTCTCTTTGACGTTTGCCTTCCCATCTCCTGATCCACCTACCTCCTCCCCTTTTCTTCCCTCGTTCTCTTTCCTGCCCTGCTTTTCCATTCTCGCACCTCCTCTCTCCCCCTCCCTCCTCTCCCCTCCCCTCCCCTCCCCTCAACTCACCGAGGGATGCGCCACCATCCGAGGATCCAAGCAGATCGCCTTCTCTGTCACTCTCTCGATGAGCATCTCGATGGCCTTGAGGTGCCGCCGGTTGGGTCGGAGGTCTCGAGTCGTATGCTCCAGACACATGGGCGTCAGGCTCGGCATCCTCCCTCCCTGTCCTGTCACGAAGCACGAGGTGTCGAGCCAGAACGCCGAGAGGACATCAAGAGTCTGCTTGACCTCGATCGGATCACCCTTCATCAGCTCCTCCAGGTACTTGTGGAGGACCCTCAGGTATGCGTCTGAGCTGCCCCTCGTCTGCATGCTCAGGTTGCTCATGGAGACTCGCGCGTCCAAGTGTCTGCATACCACGGGAAACGCGCCGATGGCATAGAGGAGGAGCTGAGACGCCGAGCATTCAATCGCCACTGGCATGTTCTGGCGTGGGATCAATTTCTCCGGAAGAAACCTGCTGGGGAACTTGAACTGCGAATACTGCCGCAGCTTCCTCACTGCAAGAAACAGTCCTCCAGTCTTCCCATGCTGATTCCGAGAGGAGGAGGGAGTCCCGTGCCTCCTCTCCCCCGTCATCTTGGCTCCTTCGACAATCGCCAGCACCAGAGCTTCTAGGTCAAGATCGACCTGATCAGGGCTGAGCCTCGACACCAGCAGGGGGGTAGGGATCTTGGTCTTCTCGTCCATCTGCATGATCTCCTCCAGGTCCGTGGGGATGCCGAAGATCGACTTGATGAACTCAGGGAGAACCTTCTCGAACTCGTCGTGGTTGTTGCTCGAAACTTCTGCCAGGTAATTCGCCACCTGCGAGCATTTCAGACCTCCTGCCGTCGCCACGCTCGAACTTACCCATCGGCAGTCTATCCACTTCGCCATTCCTGTCTTGGGCGCCATACCTCCTGCCGCCCCCCCTCCGGCCATCACGCCCGCCATTCCTATCCCTGACGCAGTCCTTCCCGCCATGTGTCCTGGCCTCTGCCCCTCTTCCCCGCCCTGACCCAGGATTCAGGAATCTGCCCAGGAATCCGATGATCTGCCGGGCCGGGCCCAGTCAGGGCCCAGTGGCCCGCCGGGACTCCCGGGAGCTCGGGCCGATCCGCCGGGCCGCGGCCGGCACTTCCGAGGCTTCGGCACACTTCAGTGAGGCTGGCATCATGGGGCCGGAGCCCGCGGGGCTCGGAGCACTCAGATCTCTGTGCCAGTGAATCTGCTAGGCTGAGGAGCTGCAGTAGGTGCTGCCCCCCCCCCCCGCCCGAGGAGCGGCCGGGCAGCCCGCCGCCCGCGTGACTGGACTTTTAGCCGAGATGATTGATTTTGTGAAACATCGAGTCTATTTACAACAAGATTGTGACTTCCTTGAATCATATCCCTCGCGTGCTCTCAGCACGAAGAATCCTGTACAACTTGTGCATCTGCAGCAGGAGAGGAAGTGAGAGGAGGGGGAGAGGAGGGTAGGGGAGAGGGAGAGCCGGGAGGGAAGGCAGGAGGGGGAAAGGAGGGAGAGCGGAGGGCGTACAAGGGAGAACAAATACCTTGATCTTCATCTGGTGAATCTTCTTATCGTGTAGCTGTATCTCCCCGATGATCTTCATGCCGCAGTTGGTCGTGAACAGGACGCCGATGGTCAAGTCCCGGTAGCCCTCCTGCGACTCCGAGGCGATGAACTTGTTCTTCACCCGGCATACCTGCGGGCAGCGTGAGAGGGAGAAAGGCAGCAGCTCCGATCCGGACCTTGATCCCTGAAGACTCGTCGAGGCTGTTGAACCACTCGAAGATCTCGAGGATCTTCTTGGGCCCCTCGCAGATCACTGAGAGCCGGACCTGCCATGGGCATCACTGACGTGCGGCCGGCCGATGGCGACGCGTCACCGGGTCCAAGATGTACCCGCTGTAGGGCCTGACGCAGCGCAGGAGAGGGTCCGCGTACTTAAAGAGCTTCTGGCTCATCCTCGCTAGCGACTTGACTGGAGCGAAGGACACCTCCACCCGTCTCACCCCTTCTTCGAATTTGCAGTCCATGGTGATGGAATGGTGTAGGATGTCGTTGTGGTCGTCATCGAAGTCCACACAGATGGTACTCTGGTCTGAGGAGCCCAGGACCGCCTCCTCCCAGTGCACAGTCGGCTCCTTGTCATGGCTGCGTGTTCGACCCACCACCTCGTGCGACTGGATGACCTGGAGGACCCTCTTCTGAAAGGCGTGGTTGATCAGCTTCGCTCTGAGGTGGAGCTGCGATATGAACACATCTTCGTTGTGCACTCTGTACCCGCTGGGCGAAACCTGGATCATTTTGTTCTCTTCCTGATACAGCATTTCCTTGGCATCCTCTTCGTGCATGCGGATCGCCCCAACCTGCAAGCCCACGAGCGTCAGAGTCACTCCTGCTGCGCACGAGCTCATACAAACCTCATCGTCTGATTGCTTGTACGGCGAGTATCTCCTGGGCGGGTCGTGCGAGTCCTGAAAGACGACGAGCTTTTCTCCTGCCGCTTCCTTCTGCATGTTCTGGAACCTCGTCTGGCAGTGCTGCCCCAGCATGGCCATGTGCTTTGATACCGCAGCCTTCAACTTGGGAAACAAGTTCAGCTCGTCATCATGCCAGATGTTGATCTTGGTAGCTTTCTCCAGGAAGAAGGCGAACCTCGTTTCAAAATCATCCAGACCCTCAGTAGACGACTTCTCGGGCGAGTCATCCGGCATCAGCATGGCTTCGCAGCACCCGACAACGAAGTCTCCCAGCAGGTAATACCGCATCTGTTCGTCACTCACGACACTCTGCAACGAGCCTCCATGATCGTGACTGTGCTCGAACGACGACAGGTTCGAGACAGTCTCGGTCTCGGCCAGCGGATGGAAGATCGCCGAGCTCCTGAGCCAGCTGCACATCGCGTTCACGTACTTGAGCTCGAAGTCCTTGACCAGGGCGAGCCTTGCAAGATGCTCCAACAATTGATAGTCAATGACCGTCATTCTCCTTCTAGTCAGAACGAACTTCCGGTACCGCACCTCCTTGCTCGTCAGGAACCCATCCCTCCTCGTGAGCTTCAGCTGATGCCGAATATGGTGGATCATCCTTATGATCTCCACGTCATGATCTTCAACTTCAGTGTTCTTGCAACAGTAGTACCAACTCAACAAAGCAACGACGCAAAAGAAAGCAAAGATCAAAGTAGTCGAGAGTACGATGGCTAGCACCGTCTGGGAATTGCTGGTAGAAATGCTGGGACAGCTCTTTTCAATGTTCGGGCCGTTCCCTCCAGGCCAGGTTAAGGCGACGTTGAGCCAGGTCTGTTGCGAAACTTCCCGCTGCACTAGATATGTGATGGTTCCTGCCTCCCATTGCGCGACGGAAATAGTGCCGTTTTCGTTTGTGTTGACCAGATCATACCTGCAGTATAGAGGACAAACACAAGATCGTCAGCAGATGAAGGAAACGGATAAGGATAAGGATTAGGATTAGGATAAGGATAAGAGAAAGGAAGAGAAGAAGGCAGCGGCGGCGGCGGTGGAGATGATGGTGATGGTTACAGCGAAAATGGAGGGGGGAGGGGGAGTAGGAAGAGCAGGAGGAGCAGGAGAATCTGTCTCACTTTGCATCCGACGGGTCCAGCTCCCTATTGAAGGTGATCAGTCCTGAAGCTCCCTCGAACCGCAGGCTGCGAAAAGTTTCTACGATGGCGGGCACATTGAAGACGGACAACCCTTTCTTGATCATTGCGTCAAACGCACGTGCCACCGCATACGTGGCATCATAGGAAAGCACCAGGTATGGGTTCGTGAACACATTCGTCAGACCCGGATACTCGTTCGGGTCTAATCTTCCCCAGAAATTCTTCATCCGCGCGAACTGAGGATTGGTTTCGTTGAAACCAACCTTCATGCCGATGTACCCCACAGGCAAGCCCGATGCAAGGGAAGTGACGGACTCACTGCCCAGCCAAATGATCTTCCCAGAAGCACCGATGGCTTTCGCAGCATCGAAGAGCTCGAGTGCGTCGGTGTTGTGCATCGCCAAGATGTAGAGGCGCGTGTTGCTGCAGTTGTCGTACATCGTCTTCAGCAAGCTCTTGGTTCCCGAGGGATTTCCAAACTCCCAGAAGAACGTCTGCTCCACCACAATGCCAAGTTCCTGACTTCTCTGCAGGAATCTCTCTGCAAGTCCAGTGCAATAGACATCTTGGCATCCAATCAGTTGACACCTTTGCCATTTGAAATGCGCCAGAACGTCTGCAATGGCCTGTCCTTGCAGATTGTCGGAGGGGCAGGTACGTGCAAAGTTGGGGAACCGGGTGATGTTGGAAAGCACATCACTTGTAGAGCTGTAGCTGATGTCGAACATGTCAAGTTGAAGATTCTTCATGGCAGTGAGGGTGAGGATGGTTTCCGAGCTGAAGCCGGGACCAACGACGGCCGTTGCACCGTTGACTGACAGATTCTTCACTATCGTAGACATTGCATTCTGCCGCACTGACTGGAAGCTGCTGCCAGAAAGGAACCCGTTCTGAGCAATCGCTCGCACTGCAGAAGTGTCTCCGATATCCAGCTGAAAGTCGATCCCTGACAAGAGAGTTTTGTCCTCATTGATCATCATCGCTGCGACCTTTGCAGCCGCCGCTGCTTGAGCATCAGCATATCCCTTGTTCCAGCTGACAACAAACATCCCTCCCAACACGATCTTTTGACAAACTCCAACAGCTCCGTCCTCTAACGCAGGTTCGCTGCTATGGAAAGTCAACCCCCCATGACTTGTCCAGGACCCAATGTTGATCAGAGTGTTGTTGCTGATCTTCTGCTCTATATTATACCGAGCATCTTTCGGACCGAGATCACTGTTGAAAGCGACATATCCCGACACCCCGTAAAATTGTACTTCCAGGAATGCCTCCTTGAGTGCAGTTGTGTTGTCAACTGATTGATTCCGCTCAATCAACGTTTGAAAAGCATATGCTAGCGCAAAAACTGCATCATATGCTAGTGGAATATACGAGTAGCTCTCCCACATGTCCGCACTAGGAATGCTCACATTTCCAAACGCAGAGTTCGAAAGATGGATGGGACCCTGCGCCCACAATGACTTCAGCTCCTGCATTTTGGGACTGCTGTGATTCGAAGACATCTTCAACCCTATGTAATTCGGAGGAAGGTCCTTGGGAAGCAGACTGCTTACCCCCTCCCCTCCTATCCAGATAATCTTGTGCAACACGTTGAGCTCCTGGGCTGCTAGGAAGACATTGGTTGCTTCCACATCCGTCATCAACAAGACGAAAGTCTTCGAAGCCACACAACTGGCAACAGCCTTGCTCAGATTGGCTTTCACCCCACTTAGGTCTGACATGTACCACAGGTGCATGGTGTAGGCAATGTCCATCGCCTTGGCGTGCTGGGCAAACTTGGAAGAGAGACCAGAGCAGTATACGCTGGAGCAAGTGATGATTTGACAAGACGTCAACTCCAGTGACTTCACCAAGTCCGCTAGCGCCAGGCCTTGGTAGGAGTCTGGTGGGCAAATCTTCACGAGGTCTGGGAAGGTTGTTCGGTTCGAGAGCACGGGACTGGTCGTGCTGACCACCACGCTCAGCAGGTCGCGCTGGTCCAGGTAAGGACTCAGCGCTATCGCCTCCGAGCTGTAACCAGGACCGATCAGCGCCGTTGGCACACGCGGCATCCGGTCGATGGCATCAATGAGAGAGTTTTCCACGAGCAAGCTGAACTGTGCAGGAGACACAAGATCGTTTTCAACCAGCGTCCTGGTGACAGAGATGTCACTGATCTGCATCTTGAGCTTCGTTTGAGGTAGAATGTCATTTCTGCTGTTGATTATGTCTACTGCTGCGAGAGTGGCCGCTGCAATATATCTCTCCCAGTATGACTCTGACCAATCCACCACAAATAGCCCGCCAATGGCGATCTCGCTCGGCGGTGAAAATGCGGCCGAGAGGGATGCCGAGAGCAAGAAGAAACAGAGAAAAAAATGCGAAAGCGCAGGTATCCACATGGTGGATGTGTGCTGTTTGCAAAGTTGAAACAAGGAGAAGATTCAAAGGTACGTGGAGAGCTCCGAGCCTTGAGCGCAAAGGGCAAGGCAGGAAATCTAACGATTTCGAACCCTTCGCCAAAATTGAGCACCGATGAAATTCAATCGAGGGGAGTTGCTGTCAAATGCTGCAGATTTCTTTTTGCGCTACATGAGATACCGCCACCATCGATCGCAACCAAGGACTACAATTCTCAGTTGTGACCATTGAGTAGGGCGTTCGTGTTACCGCCATGTACGTTTCAACCTTGCGTCTGCAACATCCTTATCATTCTACTCAACTTCTCCGCCGGTACAGGAAAGAAGGAACCACACATCCAGACAACCATGAGCTCGCTGTCACTGCTTCCGATCCATCTTCCCCGTGCCGCCCTGGTTCTTCCCATTCCATGCCGCATCCTGATAAACTCCCCGGGTCTAATGATGGAGAAAACTTGGACCACCCCACCCTTTTATCTAATGTACCCTACCCTTGTACCCTTTTTGCACTGCACCCCTCGATTAACACCCCTTACATAATTTGTATGGGTCCTTCTGACTACCATGAGTCACTTCCCGATCCAGCACCCTTCCTATCCCCAGAGCCCACCCTACCGAATAAGTCCCTTGCCACCACCCACCCCTACAGCATGGCTATTCGGTACCCTCACCCCTCATGGTCCTTTTTCTGCACCTCACGGATGATGGTAGACCAGAATCCGACTCAACCCGGGATCGGACTCGGGAGTCACGTGACTGCGGCAGTCACTCAGGGCTGAGTCACAGTGCCGCCGAGTCGCGGCCGCCCGGCCCGGCGACTCACGACGGTGAGTCAGCCACAAACTTCCGACTCCCGTCGGCCGGCGTCAGTTTTGGCCCGGGCCCGTTCAACGGAGGCGGCCTTCTTGTCAGCCTGAGCCTCGGAACTTCAGTGCCGGAGGGAGTCCAGCGCCGTTCACAGCGGCGCCGCCGCGGCGAGAAATCTCGAGGAGTCACAGTGACATGCTGCTGTCTCCTGCTCGATCCCCCGTCCGATCCATAGGCGGAGCCTCGGAGTGCTACCATGGTGCACTACTCAGTGACCGGCTCCACAGAACGGCGCGGCTTCCGGGCCCGGGGCGGGCCCTGCCCTGCCAATCGTTTATAACCCGTTTACTGAAATTTGTAGGACTTTCCCAAAAATTTGGTCGTAAACGCAATAAAAAATGTCCATAATTCTCCCCGTTACATAAAATTTGCAGTCGTCATTGCCAGACTCGCCGTTGTGCTGGGATGGTGGAAGAAGCAGGAAGGGAGGAGGGCAGCTGAGAGGGAGCGGAGAAGGTGTTGTACAGCAGCAGGAAGGGAACGGAAGAGGAGGAGAACGAGTAGCTCGTAACGACAGTTTGGGAGACACGGTGGATGATAAGGAGGTATAAGGTGACTGTACCGCTGTATGACTTGGTTTGGTGGGTGAGGTCGCCAGAGGTCGAGGGATTGTCCTTGTAAGTAGCAGCAGCCATGCTTCCAGTCTAGCGCGTTGGACCAGATGATGAGGGAGGTCGGCTTCGTCTACATCCTCCTGCTCCTGCTCTGCGGAACGCACGGAGAAGGGCAGACCAAGGACAAGCAACTGAGCCTTCGGCGGAGTGCTACGACGCACCTGCGAAGGCTGAGCAGAAGTCAGGACTTTGTGGTCTACACCCGACCAGACAAGTCAGGAAACTCGACATGGAAGACGGCCAGCGCGTTTGAAGCTGCCAACTCGACAGCCAGCAGCTTCTATCAGTTCCTTCCCAGCTACAGCGCATACACCAGCTTCATGCAGGGTCGGTCGAAGAGCAAGACGCAGTCACAGGCAGGAGACGGGGAAGGAAGGCCGCTATCTATCGGCATGTGGCAAACTGAAGGCTTCCTGGGCCCGAAGACGTTGAGGGGCTCGCAAGGTGGCAGGAAGGGAAGCAAACGAGGAGGAGGGTCGAAAGAGTGCAACGTGACTTCAGAGTGCGAGCAATGCTCAGAGGCCTCGCTACAGGACAACGCAGACTACTGCATGAAGACAGGATGGATGCAGGTGAAGTGCCTGTATGACGTCGTTGCTTCTGACGTGAAGAACTGCCAGCGGGTGCAATGTAGGGACTTGAAGACAAACCAGATCGAATCGTTTTTCGAGTCGTGCAAAGCGCAAGGTTACGTTCTATCAGACACAGGGGCGGTCGTGCAGGTATGCTGCTGGATGCTCGTGTCTGTTGTTGATGGTCCATGCAGATGGAGGCTGGCTGGGCATTCTTTCTGGTGGTGACCTGGACTTGGATGAAGAGGAGGAAGCGGCTCCAGCCGGGATCTCGTCTAACGGACAAGAGCGAGGTGCAGATCCCCATGAGGTGAAGAGAGGAGAGTTGTCAGTGTAACTTTCTTACTTCCCTCGTCAGAGTTCGCTACGAGGCGTTGCAGAATGTTTGATGGGGAGATAGTTGGACAGGTTCGAACTTTTATCGTATCATCTGCCGTAGGAGCGATGGGCAGCCATAGATCGGACTTGTCATGTCCGGTTGTGTCCGTCTTTGATTTCATTTCAACAATTGTTTAACGACTGATTTAACTTTCAACTTTTTTGCATTACACCATGATTGTCATCAACTCAAACGCCTCTTTGCTGCTGGTTGGCTATCCATCATCGTTGTGGTGCTGGTCACCTGTACGGACGACACGTGCTCGCAGAATCAGGTAACAGTCAGCTCCCTCCGTCCACTATACTCCACCGCTCCCCCCCCCTCCGCCATACCCACACCCTGGAACCCCTTGGCTGAACTCAAAACCCTTCCCACTATCACTCTTTCCTCTTACATAACGTCTCTTGATCCGCCATCGTGAGTCCCATGCCTCGAGCTCGAATGAGGTCAGGCTGCAAGGGCACCTCCAGCAAAAGCTGGCTACCACCGCGATGCGCTTCCTGTTGATCTCCCAAGTCCTGCAGTGCGTCTCCATGGGCAGCAGCAGCGGGGTGAGGGACAGCAGCATCGACTCGCCAACCCGCAGGTGGAAGGGTATGATCATCGAGCACTGGAGGGCGGTGAGCACGGGGAGGAAGCGTTGTCCCGTCACGTTGAGGGAGCGAGTGATGCTGTGGATGCGGCGCTCGACGGAGTCGCGTCTCAGGTCGGGCAGGAAGCTCGTGCTGCAGAGGTAGAGGCCCCGCACCTTGCTTTCGCGAACGATCTTCCGCAGGAGGAGACAAAGCTTCTGCTCCATACTCCCCCGCTCCTGCTAGGAGCTCTCCACCGCAGTGCGGGAAAGCGAGCTTGTCTGGATTCCCACGTTCTAGGCTCTGGATCACTTCATGTTGAACCTTGGTCAGCTGGAGAGCAAGCATCAACCTCCTCCGCCATCGCGCAAGTCATCGTCACCTTGAACAGCTTCGACATCTCCTTTTGCGCCTCGTTCAGCCATGACGTCAGGTTCCGTATCTCCGACCTCGCTGCTGAGAGCGACACCCTCGATTTCCCATGCTCCTCCTTCTCGTGTCGCAGCTCTGCCTGCACCTGCGCAGGATGTCATGCTCTCGAACCGCAGAACTTCCTGATGCAGCTGCTCTCCTTCTTACTTGGGCCAAGTAGTGCAGCATTTCCTCCCTCACGTCTTCAACAACTGTGTTCCTCTCCCTCTCGAGCTCCTCGAAGGCTGCTGAAAGCTCGTCGTTCTCTTCCTTCTTTGCTTGCAGCGCAGCCTTCAGCTCTTGCATCTCCTGCAGCTCGACGCGGTATGGCTCTATCTGGTTCTCAAGGAAACTGCGATTGAGCACACGAAATCAGTGAGGGTTGTCAAACACATTTGAACATACATGATTCTTCCTTTCAACACCTCCAGCGCATCGTTGTGTCCTTTTTGCATCTGCGTCATCAGAAGCATGCTTTCCGAGTGCAACCTGGATTTTTGATCCAAGAGCTGAGAGATTCCCAAATGTCAGACAAACATCGGATTAACAAGGCATGACATTGATTTTGGCACATGCGACTGAAACTTGACAAGGCTTTTATCACATCTCATAGTTCATAACATCCACGACAATAAAGAAAAGAAATCAGCAACACCATGAGAGCTATTGCAAATTACCCCAAACCAGTTGGCAGTGAATGATCTCTCAGCTTGCTAACTGACTGCAACTGAACCTAACTTCGAAGTTCGTCCACCAGCCGCCATCCCTTCTTCTACCGTACTATATCTCCATCACTAGTCACCTGAGTATCCTCCTAGTACCCCGCCGCCATCTCTTCTTCTAGTATCTCCATCATATCCTCCTACCCCGCCGCCATCTCTTCCGAAGTTCTACTATCTCCACCAGGGCCTCCTACCCCGCCCGCCATCTCTTCTTCTACTATCTCCACCAGGGCCTCCTATAGTACCCCGCCGCCATCTCTTCCTCTCGCACTCACTCGCTCCAGCTCCACATGCTTTCGTCGCATCTCTTCGCACTCCGGACATGCCGCCGCCGTCGGGCATGCCGACATCGCCCGGCAGGTCAAATGGCACCCACCTACCCTGATGAAAATTTTCTTATCCTTTCTCCACCACCCACCTTTTCACCTCATATTTGCATCAATATAACCCGTGTCAATCCAGTGCTGGGAACCCCTACCCCCCAAAGCACCAAAACCAATTTTCAAAAATCATACCTCGTTATATATAATTATGTATAATGTGTTGGAATCGGGTTGACCTTGGGCAGGCCATGCACCATCAGTCGCATCGGGTAGGGGCTGAGCGGCCATGGCGGCGGGGAGAGGATGGCAGGGAAGATAGCGGACATGCGAGCAGAGTCAAGACAAGGGATAGGACATGATGAGACGAGCGAGCTGCATGCAGCAGCAGCAGCAGCACTGACTTGGATGGCAATCCATCGATTCCGTCGCCCCCAGTTCAACAACAGTAGCAGCCTGTTGCTGAGCTTGCTCGTGGTGTTCACGTGCTCTGCTCGAGTGGTCGGGTATGAACCTGGCAGCAAAGGCAAGGACGACAACAGCAACCTGCAGGCAACGCCGCAGATCGATGCCGCTGCACAACATTTCAGAGCAGCCATTGTGAAATTCCCCGACGAGCCCTCGAATTATGAGAACCTCTTTCAGGCTCTGTTCCTGGATGACAGGAGAGAAGAGCTCGCTCACTGGATGAGAGCCTACAGAACTCGCTTCCCAGCGCGATCGCAGACATGCTGGTTCCACTTCAACATGGCAATGACGCTCTACGGGCTACAGGCTCACGAGGAAAGCTTGTATCACTTCGTACATGTCATCACCCTCCCTACAACTCGTCGCGCGATCGGAGGATGCATGCTGCTTCTGACTTCCTCGTCCGATCGTTCCACCACATCGGTCTCCTCCTCGAGCTCTTCGGACATGAGCAACAAGCTTGCCGCGCGTTTTGGACCACTTTGAGACTGAAGTGGGAAGATCCCAAGTATGGCATGTACCTGGTGACCTGCTTGCTGAGTTCGGAGAGGGTGAGTGAGGCTGCGAGCATCCATGCTGCTCTGCTAGGGACGAGGTCGGCAGAGTTCCCGAGGCCCTGGGAGGACATCCTGCGGTTTCGATCGAGCAAAAGGAGCAGGATGAGTCCTTGGCATGGGATCATATTCCATCTGCTCGACAAGCTGGAGAGGGTGTACGACATGAAGGCTGCGCGGAATATCTCGAGGGAGGCTCGAGAGCAGATGATGCAGGAGGTACACAACCGCCAGCACCCCCACGATTGCTCCCGAGCCCAGGTTATGGTGTACAGCATGAAGAACGCTTTCGCTGGGCTAGGAGCCGAGGTGCACGGGCTGGTGCTTGCGCTGAACCTCGCTCATGCTCTGAAGCGAACGTTGGTCATGCCGCGGAGAGACTCTTGGTGGTACTCGGATCCTTCCAAGTGCGAGCAGGGAGGGTGGGAATGTCACTTTCTCCCGGTAGAGGTTGCTGGTGCTGTCAGGGGAGGGGATGAGAGCTTTGCAGATCTCATCGTGTCATGTGGAGGACACTGTGTTGAAGAAGTAAGTCTTGACGTGTAATGGAGTTGACGACAATCCCCCCTTGGTCCTCCCCGCTGTTCCTGATATCCTCCCTTGCTCATTCTTGTTGTTCCTGAAATGTTCTTTCCCCTTCCCGCTGTTCCTTATCGTTTCGAACAGCCGCATGGAGTACAACCACAAACTTGCCATCGAGATGCGAGGTCACAACCCTTCCAAGGCAAGGGATGAGAATGGGAAGTAACTGTTGTTTGACGTGCTGCTGCCTGCTTGCTAGGCTGATCTGCTCGCATGGAGGGGAGCCATGGCGGACTACCTGATGCGACCCAACTCCCTCATGCAGGGGAAGATGGAGGAGCTCAAGGTGAAACGAAAGTCTGCTAGACGTGTAGATGTTGAGCAGGGAGTTGGTCCAGACTGCAGTGAGCTGGCCTGTCAAGTCAACTGAGAGGGTCCTGGCACTTCACATCAGACGAGGCGACAGGATGGTCTCTTGCACAACTTGTTGTGAAGACGTCATGACATGAAGTACCAGGTGACAAGGAGGCCTGTCTCAGTCGCGCAGTACTTGGATGCGACATACGAGATGGTAACGCGAGAGAGCAGGGCTGAGTCGTGTCATGATGGACCAAGGCGAGGGGATCAAGGGGAGGGACGGGCGAGGAGGAGCGGGGGGAAGGAGGACGAGAGCTAGTTGAGGTGGAGGATGGTGGTTTGAGGAGGAGACAGAGGGGTTCGAAGAGGGAGACGGAGGAAGGGTTTGATCGTTGAGTTTGTTGGAGGAAGGAGTGGAGGAGAAGGGAGGAGGTTTGTTCAGGGTGTTGGAATCCAGGTAGTGACTGAGCTGTCCGCTTTCCAGCTCCAACGCAGTGTTTTCCAATACGTTTTCTTGTGCACTGAGAACGATGAAGTCGCCTCAACGGTCGAGAAAGGTTTTCTGCTTCCTTCGCTTCCTCCCTCGTTCTTGCTGTTCCTTCTGGTTGTGTGTTTTTGTTCCTCCCTCATCAACCTCCATTTTTTCCCCTCATTTCCTCCTCCGCTCACCTTTCCTCTAACTCCCCACCTTCTGCTTCCCTTCATCCTGTCTCATCAAGCTTTCCTTTCGGCCAACATCCTTGAGAGAAACAACTCGTGTTCTTTTACCTCAGCTCCTCTTTCCACTCTCTTGTCACCTCATGACGCCTCCTCCAGCCTTCGAGGGAGACTCTCGCTTCCTAGGCATCGGTCTCCTGTATGACAGGGCAGGTGATGGAGATGGGAGGAGGAGGAGGAGGAGGGAAAAGAGATGCTGAGCCTTGATGATGAAGAGACGAGAAACTCAGTGGAGAACTCGAGAGTGCTTGAGGTTGAGTCATCGCATCCCCTCCACCTCCCCACTCACTCGCGTTGTCCTCCTCTTTCTCCTCCTCACCTCGCAACCCTCTCCTCCTCCTCCTTGTCATCTCCTCTTCGATCGTCCCTGGTCTCTTCCCTCCCTCCCCCCTCCTCCCTTCCCTCCCTCCCTCCCTCCCT